CATTTGTAGCTTAACTGTTGATCGAAGTCTTTAATAAGTTTAGGTGAAAGTAGGCATTAAACATGCATTAAATCATTGTACGTCTCGTTAGTGATTTAAATAATTTTTGACATTGTATTAGTGCTGACATAGGTCATGTAAGGTCAATAATCTAAGGTACCCTTTTTATTGTAATATCCGCAGAACACAGAAAGACGTTAGAAGGGCCTTGTGGGTGTGGCAGCGTAGCCACGATTCTGGACTAATGTAGAGGATCATGACTTCACCAAGCGTCGTACTAAGCACGTAATCTAAAGAACATCGCGAAATCACCGTTCTAATTAGTACGATAGATCGCTAGTGAGGTGCCATGGGAACATTTAAACGATTCTTTGTGTGTTAGTCAGTAAAAACTAAATAAAAGTAAGGACGTTCAAAATAGTGGTAATAAAAGATAAATTGAATCAGAGATTAACTATAGCAATTAATAAAATGTAACCCTATTCTAGACTATCACATTGACTTCGTTAGGTATGCATTTGAATATTAATTTAATGTGTGTGGTGTAGCGAAAGAATCTGGTTTTATGTTCCTAATATTGCAGAAAATTATTTTTTATTTTAAACCATCAACTAAAATACTTTTTAAATCGTCGGAATCCATTCGGGGTAAGTTCCAATAGCATTTATTGTACTATTTTTTTATTTTGTATACATTTATTATTGTCAATATTACTAGATTCATTTAAGGGATGTTGCCGATTTCATTAGTTTAGTTGATACGAAATCAAGTAAAATAACGTAAAAAGATACCTACTATTATTATTTATAAACAAACCAACAGGCATATATGCAAATAAATATTTAAGCACGACTAGTAATGATGTTAGTTCATTATTAGGAAGTGATTTCAATATTTCTTACTGAATTAACCGACTAATTAACAAGCACAAAAATTTCATGGCTTTCAAAATAATAATATCTAAAAAAGGTAACATTTCATTAAATCAATACAATTTAATGTGTATCCAAGATAATATTAGGGCCTTACATATTAAATTGGTGTTTGGTATGGGAGGAACAAAAAGTCGAATATAATTTAATATATTTATTCATTCAAAGTATAAACCATTGTTATCCATGCACTTTTGCCATCTCATTGATCTCCTTACTAAATAGACCATTCGGACGGGAATCAATAAAATTATTGAAGGCGATTTGCATTGCCCCATCGGAGTTCAATTTTTTCCCTTGCAAAAAGTTATCCAAATTTCGAAAAAAATGGTTATCTGTTGGAGCAAGGTCCGGGGAGTACGGTGGATGTCTTAGACATTCCAATTGAAGCTCTTCTGATTTGGTAGCCGTCTGTTGTGCAAAATCAAAACGCACTGTGTTTTTAACCCTTCGAGCCGTTTCCGCAGAACTGGTACCACGGTGGAACTCGTACTCGTAAATAACACGATATTTCAAGTTTTCCATTTTTTATACTGGGTGACGTAAATAGGACAAACAGAAGAAAAGAAAAAAACAAATTAATGGCGTCTAACGAAACACAAATACATGTGTAAATGAACGTATATATTTGAATTTGGAATTCCCAACCAAGGAAGAGAAATTGTGATTAAAGTGGCCAGTACGACAAAACGCCAATTTCATATGTAAGGACCTAATTTAAAGCAATCATTACTCCAATATCCTTTCAATTAATTGTCCTGTTGTTTTTCAATATCGTTAGTTAATAACTATATGTCAATCACTAGTAATATGTCAAATAAATGGCTTTTACACGTTTATTACGCACTCTAGATGTCTGTTACGGTTGAGCGTGATTGGTTATATTTATATTGGAGCGTTCTGATTGGCATGTCTAAATTGCAAGTGTGTGCATATCTTTTGTATAATTGGTCTTATATTTCGCCTGATCTATGGCGGACGAAAAGTGGGGCAAGACTGGCGATATCGGTTTTCGTACAAAGAATGCAAGATCGCCTTTCTATCCTCTTTAACAACAAACAATATCTCCCAGAGAAACATAATTATATAAGGCATGTAATTATTGATTGGATATCCCCAAGACAGAAAAGATTAGAGTTATTTTGATTCCTTTGCTATAATTAAGCTTCCTTTATAAAAAGTACCATATCGTTTAAATTACATTTTGTTGACAAATAATAATACCTGTCATCCAGTTGGCAGAGTAGTTGGTGGAGTAGAAAGAGTAACAGTTACATCTAATATAACATAAGCCATGCAGAACATTACCTTACGCTTATAAACACCTGTTTAATCTCCTTTACAATAGAATAAACAAAAAAAAATTACCCACTATCTGTTGAAGAAACCAAAACAAAGATAGAGAAATGGCTGCTCGCCATATGCTATGATCAAACGGAATCCATATTCAACAGTCCAAGTATTTTTACACTACCCTCCATGCACTGATGTCAATGGTTTCACACTCTATCACTAATACTTCGTGCTAGTCACCTAACATGATTTCCTCTGTATGTCTGTTATATTGAATTAGATTAAGTAATATAATTGTGTCGTTACTATTAATTATTATTATTACATAAAAGAGCACCTGATTCATAAGCATATTGTTTTGTTCCGGGTTGTAACTCAACACAGCGACTGACAGTTCCCACATGGCTTTGGGTAAAATTGTTTATTGATTTCAACTTTTATGTACTTACTAAAAAATAGTAGGCTGTGTAAGTAATTCTCATTTATATAATAATAATTGGACTGAATAGTTGTCTATCATGCAACTTGAATAGGTTATATATATGAATATACATTTACTACAGAATAAATACAAGATTTTGCATAATTTGTTAAAGAAAGAAATCTTACTATGGATTTCAACAATATTTAAGGAAAGCCTGAAGACATTGTGCACTTTCGGTTAGGTTTGTCCAAACAGGAGTTACTTTATTATCTTCTTGGATTATCTGGGACACGTAATGAGAAGGTAGGGCTTGAACTATATAACTTTAACATATTTTTGCCTGATCATAGTAAAAACTGTGCAAGTAGTTCGTGAGCTTTGTGCCTCTTGCTCTTACTTATATTATAGAGAGGAAAGATTTAATTGATTATTAAACTTTTTAAAAAGCTCCGAAACTACAAGACTGACTTAAAATAATCTTTCACTTACGGGAAACTACATCTTTTATCAGGATGATACAGGCTTCTATTTACACCGGCGAAGGCGTGGGAATACTGTATCTGTAGTTCAATATTTCATGTTAATTTATTATTTAGTAGTAATGTACAAATGAACTGGATAATTGTTTTAAAATAGTCTTTTCTTTTTATCGGCGCAGATGTAAATGTGAGTCTACAGCTGCTCCAAACCGAAGAATTGTGCCCGAGGGCGAGAACAAATCAGAAGAAGAATCGTGACTCGTGGGCGAAAACACGTCAGGAGAGGCCGTGGAAGATTCAAAGGCTAGGACGTCATGTGATCAACTTATATAAATGTAGCTGCTTTTTTGACGGTCTGAATGTCAGTCTCCACCGGTGGAGAAATTGTATGAGCAGTGTTATTTATTTATTTAGTGATTTATGTAAAGTCCATTCTTATAAGTAAGCGTATTTGGAAGTACTGTCTTTTACTTGTAGAATTGTATTGTCAAATTAAAGGTAAATATATGTAGTAATCTACTATTTCTTTATCTAACCATCTCATTTTCTTATTCCGAACATAAATAAATTAATATGATGATAATGTAATAAAACTATTCCGTACACATTATTTTATTAGAAATACAGTTCAAACATATGATTATTTTTGTCCATTTTTGGTAAAATTCCGTCTTAGTTAGCACCAATGTCCTGAAAATAACCATTTAGCTAAAACTATTTGTAGTAACTAAGTTTCATACATACTATTTATCTCAAAAACAACGCCTTACGGGGACCAATATCGCAGTCTTGATGATCCTACGTTCTAAAACTAACCTTGTAAAATTTAAAATTCCTAGCACTTGTTTCTGAGATTTCTTGATGAATGAGGAATCCCCTACAAACAAATAAACAAAGTAAGAAACTTTACCTCTTTATAATGTGAGTACATAAAATGTTCCACAACAAAGTTAGCTCCATGAAGACATACGATAGTTACAGCTTATCTATTAAACACAAACAAATAGTTAAGTACCTACCACGGACCATGTTTATCTTTCCAATTGTTTCAAATAACATCGTGTGCGAATGACTCCGCTGGTTTAAACTGAAAATGGATTCCGACTTCTCTAACACAGCTAAGTGAAGCAAGCGTGCCATTTAAATTCTGACACTAGTGTAATTATTTCACTTCTGAGCGCATCTAAATATATTATGCACATTTTAGGATAAAACGGAACTTTATTACTAAGATTCCGACAATCTACTGTCACCAGTCTGTACCTTATGCACAGCGACTAGACAGTTGAAAGGGTATACAACAAACTTGATACTTTTGCGGTAACTTTGATTTTGTACGAAAACCACTCATCTGCGGATCCATTTGCTTTGGAATGATTTTTTGTAATACGTCTAGACATTTCGTATCCTTCGCATGGCAACTCTAGTGACTTACTTGCAAAGCATTCGAAACGTCTAATAATCTAGAAAATAGAATTGAACTTTTATATTTAAAAATAAACGCTAACCTAACATCATAAGTTCTAAAACGTCTTTGAATAAAAACTTCATGTAGTACTTATTCAAAGTAAGTTTTTTATTTCACTTATTATTTTGATGTTCCAAATATGCAACTTCGCAAAAAATAATATTTTCTTTCTTATTCACGTGCCTTACCACTACTATTTGCTATAAGATTAGCAAATACTCTATCTTGTGGCAATCGAAAATTGTGATATTTCGTACTAATTCCAGGTCCACGCCAACAATTCAGCAACAGAAACCTTCCTAATTTATAGTTCCATTCATATTCCATTCCATGTAATCAATATATATTATACAAGCAATCAGGTGCACATACGTACATTAAGGTTTAATGACACCTTTAAGCACCAATGAATTTCAAATTTGTATGGATAATGTCGCTTTTAAACTTTGTGCAACTAGCTGAGTTCTAAAAAAATAATAGACCGACAGCAACTGTTGAATACTCTTTTATTCACAATAACAAATAAACAATTTTGATATCTAAGTACACCGTTTTCACACTACTTAAAGCTATGTTGTGATTCATTAACTGAATAACGAGCTAAATAAATATCCTTTAAAGAAGATTCCGAAACACTACCTGCTACATATTTGGACGTCAAAGGTAAATGATTGCAGTCGACCATTTCCTGTGAACAAATAATATGATTTACGCAATTAGTACACCGATACAATCGCATGCGAAAGCGAAGCAATAAAAAAATTACAGTTATATGACAATTTTTGCGTGTATTTTGTCTCGCTCTATTATTGGTTCGACGTCCTTGTCAATACGGTTTCACAGTCGACTTCGAAAAATGTCTTTACAGACGCATATGTGTCGCATTCGTTCGAAATAGTTTATTATGTGTTTTGCTTTGATTTTATTTTCCAGAAGTCACCCTTCATAAGTTACTTCATAGGACTCTCCATGCACCCTCGAAGATTTCCAAGTTTTACTTTAATACCCATTATGTTTTAAAACACGTACCTCTAAAGTTTTGAATAATTGACTTTAATAAACCTTCAATGCGAGTGGACAGATAAAATCTGTTTTGTATGACCAGCAATTGCCACGGCCCCGATTTATTTATATTTGATGTCTTTAATATTGATGACTGTTGCCTACTGGTTGGATAACTTTTATATTAAATGTATGCTGTAATTTACCATATGATATCAAAATTTTCTTTGGTGCTATCTTTTATTAGTCCACTACCTATCTATGTGGCTATTAAGTCCACAAATTGCTTCGTTTTCACAGTCTAATGCATTGGTGTACTAACGGCGTTAAAGACAATTTTATTAGACAATAAAAGGAGTGTACGTTTATCCATTGGTCCTCCGTCTACAGACGTTAGCACCGATCTATCCGCTTTTGTGACCTATTCGATTCGATAGGAATACCCAGAAATGGGGACATTAATGGGCTGATGATGAAAGGTGATATAATCACTGCAAATAATCTATAATATTCACAAGAAAATCTATTGATTCATTTTTATGATATTACTAGCTTTCCGCTTCGCCCGCGTGGTCCCTGAGGAACTATTTATTGGAATAAAAAGTAGATTATATGTTAATCTACGAATTATCCGTATACTAAATCTTATTTAAAATCCATTCAGAAGTTTTTGCGTGAAGAAATATCAAAATGAAAACTTACAAACTTTCACTTTTATAATATTAGTAAGATTATTCAGTTTTTCAATACCTAAACCCTAAACCCTTGTTACGCAATTTCGATTAGTATTTGATAGGTTTCTTTTTTTCTTTAAAAATAATTAGCAACAGTGTCTGAGGTAACACATTAATAGCAAAATATAAAAATCTATTAGGTGAAATTAAATTAATACCTCGCCGTATTAAAATGCTGGATACTCGCTTGAGCATCATCCACAGGAGTGGCACTTTCAAGAACCACTTCCGCACGTGCTCAGCTCATAATAACCGTGATCTCTCAATATCATTCGTCATTTAATTCAAATACCACTAATATTAGATTTTACAATATGTATTGATAAACATTAATTGTCTAACCATCCATAAGGAAGGCCTGAGACCTTGCAGTGGGAATGTAAAAGGGTTAATGATGAACCACCCAGATCCAATACAATCCAAAAGTATAAAATGTAACGTAACACCCTGTTATCCTGAAAGTGGTATGGGAGCTACTTGACTAAAGGATTTCAATAGAACGATGCTATTTACGCTCACCTTACATTGGATATCTGTGCCCTACTGAACCTAGAGGTTAACGAACCTACTTGTCTAGCAATACGTGTAATGTACGCGCGAAATCCACTGGGCCTGTTTGATTGGTGAAAACGCATGGATAGGCGAATGAATCGACCAACTGGCGGCTCGCAGGTTACTTGATTTTTTTATTACTAGTAATTTGTTGTAATTGGTACGACTCTCTGTCAGGGTGACCACTTCTTTTTATGTTAAAAACGGGAGCCTATAACGAAGACTCCGCTGTTTTAAATCGGATTTCGAAAGGTCATGGGTTCGAGTCCCATCTCAGAGTATCAGAATCAAAATGGATTTTTAAACAATTTCATTAATCCTATTAATATTATAAATGTGAAAAAATCTTTGTTTGGATGTTTGTCGGTCAATCACGCCGAAACTAATGAACGGATTTTGATTAAATTCGGAATAGAGATAGGGTATTACCTGACTTATATAATAGGATACTTTTTATCCCACTAAAAGGTTCCCTAGTGATAGAAGTACCTCCAATGGCGCCTATTTTTGTGAACGCTGCCTAAACGGTATGAAATATACGAATGCTTTCTAAAGAAAAGCTGGAGAGCCTTAAATTATCCATAAAAGAAACCGCGATGTCATATATCTATGTGCAAAGGTTTTTCCACACAAAAAATCTTCGTATGAGTATTTAAATGTTTCGTCCGTTGTTAAACGTTTATTTGAGTAGGTGGTATTAAATCCTTATCGTAACAAATATGTGTTCAATGCAGTTGCTCATAAAGCGCTATATTTTAATCCATTGTAAACACGGAAAGTGAGTCTTTAAACACGTGTTAAAAAAAATTTATTGAAATCCTTTACTGCACACTATTATTTTTATTTTTTTTTGTATAAAATTTACTCTCCATTGGGAGATTGGAGGGTATACGACTGCAAATGTTTCCGGACTTTATGTGCCTTCCAAAGCACGGAATAGCTTGAGATACTAATTTTTGGTCATCCATCCCGTGACTGACAACACATAATGTAAAGTGCTGTCGACATAGATAATATTTTGCCGTACAGTTAACAGAACATCAGACTATACAAAACTTTGACTTTGAATTTCTCCATTTTATTTTAAATCTTAAAGTGTTGATAGCGTTTATGCTAAAGTAATTTGCGCTAACGTTTCTATCAAAGAATTTTGCATAGACTACGTCTTCGATAAAGTTTTGTGTAAACTTCAGAACTGTATTTCAAATTGGATTGGATTGGATTAATATATTTTAAGTTTTCAAAGATTAAGTGCTGAAACATATTCGATATTTGTTGTTTTCTTTTTGTTGTAGTATCTTCGAACTTAAACATCAAGGTAATTTCATCATCAGCTCGAGAAACAGCGTTTTTGGAAAATATATGCTGCCCAAAGTAACTATACCACGCGAACGAAGTCGCGAAGTCGCAGTCACCACCAAAAAAAAACTGAAAAGCATAATTTTAGTTAAAACTTTTTTTAATCACATTAAATTACGCATCAAAAAGTAGAATAACCACGAATCTTACAAAAAATCCACAAAAAGTTAAGAAAGATAACTAATGCACGCCTCCTTTCTGTAAATGACGACGAAATTGATGTACACTGTCTGCTTTTAAATTCAAAATTCAATATCGCTTATTTATTCTTGTCCAGGGGTTGGCAACCTGCGGATGCTTAGAAGTTTCGACGCCGCAGTTATTAATTTTAAATTGAATACATCATTTATTTGAAATTTATCTTGGACAATGTAATAAATTCTAAATAAACTCTTTTATAAATGAGAAACCCACGAGAAATATATATATAAATATAAAGAGATATATATTTATATTATAGCATAAATATTCTTAATTGGTAGATACTTGTTACTACCAATTAAGTACTACGCGCACTATTCATATGTAAACACGGAAAATGTAAAGGATCCGAAACGTCTAAAAATGAAAACAAAAATACAGACGCGTTTTACCCGGTTAAAAGTAATTTAATGTGATGATAATAATTGGGTTAAACTGAAAATTAGTGACATTGAGAAACTCGTCATTTTCTGAATTACAATAAAATTACTTAAGTGATGTGCGAAGGTAACTTTCGAAAAGACAACTTACTCCCTGTCATGAATTATATATATACATATTGTTTTTATACTTCAAAACACTATCAAGCAAAAAGAAAAATAATGTAGGTATCATACTTATTTACAAAAAAAAATAATACCTAATTGTTCCTGTCAAGACTCCTTTGCTTATAATATTTTTCTTGTTGTCACGCCACATATAAATTGCTTTGGTCATGATCGAATTGACATTTGCAAGATTGGGTCGTGATTTCTTTTGAGTATAAAAAGGCATTGTATAAAAAGACCTGATAGTCCAAAACAGAATTGATACGTATATGCACGTACATTATTCTCAGATCATTTTACATGACAATTAGCTGTTTGCCCACAAGTTTGGCAGCGTAAATAACCTATCTTACCTGCCTATGATGTAGCTTTGCCTATGTAGGTGAAAGAAAAAATATCTTTATTATTTTAATGTTATGCCTTTATTATTAAAATACACATATAATAATATTAGGGGTTAAAGTATGAAATTGCCGTTTAATTGTAATAGGTTCTTCATGGTTTGTGATTTTCGAAAAAAACTGTCACATGTGAGCTCAATTAAACCGTTTAAAACTTGTTTCATTTATGAGAAGATTTATTATACTTGTACATATTATTAAAATTGATAAGTAGCTATGGATTTTAACGTTGTATCCTTGTCAATAATTATAGATTAATTTGTTTTCTAATTAAATTGGTCACCGCGCTGCAATGTGGAGACAGTTTGCGCCCTTTTCAAATCATGGCATTAGCAAGAATGCATGTTAAACAAAGATAAAACTTTAGCACACACTGAACTTAAAGTCGTGTCTTAATTTGCGGTGAAATCTCTCCTTCTGTACAAAGTCACTCAACAAACACAAATACAACAAAAAATAAAGCGTTCTAGTTTCGTAATAAGCACTCGGTCACAATATGCTGCGTGATCGTGTTTTGTAGGTGCACACGCACAGCAATATTACAAAAAAAAATGCACGAAATATTTAACCTTTTTAGACATTTTTTCCGACTACTAAAACAGAAAATCAATTTAGATCCTTGGAGATGCGTTATGTTAAAATATGTAGGTGCTTGCGTTTTAAAAAACACCTATCAATTTTGAATTAGTGAAAGCTTCATACAAAATGTATTTCCAAAGCTTTCCTCCTGCATCGTGTTAGGCTTTGAACTAACTTCAATATGAAAAAAATCACGTTCTTTCAATATCGTAAAGAAATGTGACGGTATAAGCTCATATTTTTCTAAATAATTATTTTAATTTATATTGCTCTATATTAAATAATGGCATGAAATACAGTATTAGATTTGAC